CAAGTTTAAGACTTTGTAAGTGAAAGTGATTTTGGTTCTGCGTTGGGTGACACATACAGAGTTTTGACTTAGTAGTCGGACATACATTATGTCTAATGGGAATGTATAATTCATCAGTGTGTAGGGTTTTTAGATTCCATTTGAAAAGGTTGTAAATCACTGGGTTAGAATAAAAGTGGTTAAATACTATAAAAATACTATGAGATGAACTCTGCTATTTTCCTCGCCTAATATTTGCCCAAGTTTCCCAGGATCCCTTTGTCACCGGCTCTTTCAGACCAGAAACAAAGTTGAACGTTGTCTGTGTGACGGTTTTTACGGTGTGTTTTGGGCATGAATATAGAGTGCGACCGACTGTTGCTCTGTGGCTTCTTCTGCACTTCCTGAGCTGAAATGCCACGTTTTTTTAGGGGGTGTGTGGGAGTGGGGAAGGAGGGGTTACTACAGAGTGTGCCACCTACGTTGGTCCGCCCTGCTCTACTGTTGATAACAGATCTTAGACTCACTGCAGTGTCAGGAAGGATTTTCCTTCTGGCCTGGAATTTCATTTAGTCGTCATTTAGCAGGTGATTCATGCCAGTGCCATTTGTGTTGTAATTTATTGTAATTAACTCATCTTCATTGGTATTGCTATGTGCCTCGTATTGAGTTGGGCAATCTAAGAAAGAGGTAATCATTCAGAATTACTTTTACGCTGCAATTTCATTTTCACTGTGCCACGTTTTGTCCTTGTATGATGACAAACTTTCTAGTATTTGAACCTCCCCACCCCCCCAAAAAAACACCTCTATTCTCCCTTTGTTCCCAGAGCAGACGTTGCCTGTCACTTTGGCTCATTTTGGCCAGCTGTGAAGAGTGACTCAGTTTTCAGGACAGGAAAACAACAGCCTATGTGGAGGAATAAGATAACTGACAACATTTCCATGAGAGCGTTGAACCAATTTTAATTTTTGTATTTTCAAGATACGCATTAGGAAGTTGTAGAGTGCTGTAGAGAAAATGATAGCGAACATTAACATCGCCCTCGTTTGATCCTGCCGCGACATGAACAGGTTCAAAATAGGAACAGAGTAATGTCCCACTGACTAATAACTTCTCCGTCTGAGCTGGTCAGAGTTTCTACTATGTATGGACAACAGTCAGCCACAGAAAGTATTACTATGATAACTGAAAGTTTTGTGAAGAACTACTGTGTCACGATGTAGAACATGTGTGAGTTTCATAGTTAAGCTCATCTAAGACTTAAAACATGCAAAAGCTAATTTCATCACATTATCCCACAGCAACTGTATAAATACACCGTCTTGTCTACAGAACCTGTTGTACTGCATTAAGATATTCATTTATAGAAAACAAAACAGCTCTTGAGGAGTGATCAGTTCTATTTTGTGGCTAGTTAAAGGTGTTCACTGCCATAATTATATCAGCAGAGCCAAAGCTAAAGCAGAGAACTTTATATTTTTATGTACCTGTACTTATAAAAAAGGCTTAAAAACAGTTTTATTGATCAAAGCAAAGGACTTAAAGGGGATATATTAAAACAATGACGTTGTCAGTGCTTTGGTGTCTGCCTGCTGCTTAGATTTGTTCAACAACTGAGTAGATTTTGTTTTATAATAAAAATATGCCAAAATCAAAAATGTCCAGATTAGCTCCACCCATACTACCAGACCTACCTGTGCAAGGTTCTGCTGTTTGCTTTTTAGACTGTTGGACTGCTATCAAGTGGTAGCTAACAGCAAAGCTCTAACTGGTTCTCACTAATGTTTTGGTTTGTGTCTGTAAAAAATACAGACAAGAGTCACTGATGAACCAATAATAATAATAACAATAATAACCAATGAATGTCAATACAAAGAGCCTTGAAACTGTTAAACCATGGGTGATCACATCTAACATTTGTAATCTGGTGACTAGCTTCTATACACTTTTGGTGCAGAGGTAAAAACAAAAAAACGATATTATACTGCATTAAATGCAGTATACTATACCATGGTCCAGTGTGTACCAGTGTTGCACCTCATGTCAACGTCCTGAATCATCAAATGGGTCACAAATATCAGCAGTAGTATCCACATGCCAGGGCTTGTCTGTGACCCATATATACCTCGCCCAAGCTTTCATGTCTGTGACTGCTAAGTATATCACCTTTTTGTCAGTGCGCCGAGACAGGAGAGCTTTAAATAACCTGCCTATACTGAACTTGAGACATTATGTAAGAGGATAGAGTGGTTGCTGGATGAACGCTGGGTCTGTTGGCCTTCAACCAGCCTAACATTCCACGTATTCTTCTCTACCTCATCTCATCAGACCAAATCTAATTCTTTGAAATTTTCTTTTTTTTTTTTCTTTCTTTCTTTTTAACTATGCCTCTGAATCCCTCACTGCCCCCAGGGCCAGAGAGGTACAGAGGCTGCCTGGAGGTTTTGAAGAGAATCCTATTCTTGGAAAGCTCTGAGTCACTCCTGCTGCTGTGGTCGTGATTAGAGGAGGTCAGGGAGGGAGTGATCATAGATAGAGTTGTACTGGAAGGCTGTTTTAAGGAGACAGGAGTTTAAAATGTGCTGTAATCCAAACATTGTAATATCAACTGAATCAATGCTGCACATACGACAGTGGACTTCCACTGCCTAGGTTGCTTTTTTATTTTAAGATTAAATGTCAGTTTGAACATTGGTGACAAATTAAATTTGAGTGTTGGCAACTCCTCAGGCTTTGCCAGAGACTGGTTGCAGTATTTATTGCCTGATCCTGCAGATAGTGCTGAGTTCAATGTTAACTTATCTTTACTCATCAATAAAAGAAGACTGCAGCAGTTGGCTGCTTTCCTTTTGCCTTAAAAGTTGTCGGATAGTTATAGAACTTATGTTTTAATTAGCTGCTGCCACAAGAGCTTGAAAACAAGACAGGAGCCTTAAAGAAAGAAAGCACTTTTTATACTAGAACCTTAGTCAGTTATCTGACTAAAATGTGCCAGATTATGGAGTATTTTATACAAATGTTCTTATTGTTACCCAAATAGAAATGATAAACATGATTATTTTTGAGCTGGTCTAAATATACTGACGATAACATTTATTGTGAAAACTCATAAAAACAACCTCCACTTCCTGTGTAGCTAGAAAACATTTTGCCAGCAGTCTAGTATAGATTTTTCCCTCCACTAATCTGCGTAAAAATGTGAAGCATGTTTAAGTAATTAAGTCACATACTTCTACACCAGTGGTGTTAAACTCATTTTCACAGGGGGCGCCCATCAAATCAAAGTAAATGGAATCCTGTATCGCTGTAACTACTCCATAAGGTATCGATAAATGTTTCTTCCATTGATTATTATTTATTAAATTGTTCGTTACTGCGTAATAAAAAGAAAAACTTTTAATTTATCAGGTTAAAAAAACTCAGCTGCATGGGACTTTTTAAAATGCTTTTTAAGCTCCTGCGGGCCATACAAAATGACTTGGCCGGCCACATTTTGCCCCCGGTCCTTGAGTTTGACACATAACAGTACAAATGAGTGCAGATGTTTCTGCACCCTTTCACATGAGTGCAAAATACAGTTTATTTACCAACAAATTCTCTCCTCTTGATAGTTTTACATGGTTTTGTTGCTCGCCCAAAAACACCTTTTAACACTGGAAATATATTTACACAGTAAAGGTTCGTTTGTAAATTAAAAAAAAAACAGCTTGCAACTCGGCAGCTTCTAAACACAGGCCTATGTCTACAGCCTAGTGTGACTGAGTAATGGTTTGAAAGTTAATCATTAAACAGAGCAGTCTACACAGAAAGAGCAAACATATTCTGTCCTGGGCTTAGACAGTGGAGACAGCCAGAGAACAGCAAATGATAGATTCACTGCACATCTAAAAAAAAAAGTTCTTTAAAACAGCCCTGCAGCCAGGATTATGTAAGTGACATTTGCAGTAACTGAGTTTAATAATATAAACTAAAGTGTCTTGTGTGATGCCAAAGGATAGCCATGTAATCAGAGCCAAGAATCCAGAGTCTTGAAGTGCTGAAGCTGTAAAAGCATTTTGAATTTAATTTAAAAACATTAACAGAAGGCATCGTCATTCATGCAGTTTAAGATGTGAAGTAGATACAGTACACTTATGATAGTAGTTTAAGATTGTGTTTAGCATCTTTTTTTTTGTTAGGTCTGTTACAGTTTTAAGAAATAGAAGTCACAAAATTACTTGACGACATTTTAAAAATAACTAATACATGAACCAAACCATTTGAAATAATGCATTCAAATCGTAAAAGGGGAAGTAAACATAGATGAGGATGCAGATTTTAGCCCACACAACCTCAGACAGAAATAAAATGACCAATAAGTTTAAAGTTGACTTGTGAAAATCATTATTTATTTATTTTTAGATGAGCAGTAGTGTTGTAGTAGTGGAAATAAAAAAAATTATCGTATGACAATAACGATACGATACGATGAGTATAAACTCTTAAAAACAAAAACATTAATGTTTGCCGTTCTTTGCATTTTATAAAGCAGTTGATAGACTGAAATAGAAAAGTTGTAGCACAAAAAAAATAATTATGCATTAATTTGAATTTGAATGTTTAGCTTTAGATAATTTAATAGTTTAAAAACAATTTTCTGTCTTTTAAGAATTGAAAATAGAAAAAAAATATTTTAACCAGATGTGCGCTTTTAAATTAGTGGAATATTCACAATAAACATGAACAAATAAACAGCATAATTATAATATAATATAATATTATAATATTACAATATTATAAATGTAGATTTCAATTATGAGTGAGCACACTAATAGATCAGGTGTACCAAAATATACTGTAGTATATTTAAAAAATTTGGTGGCTAGGCTAGGCTAGGCTATTTGCTGAAAATGATGTACTGCAGCTATACAAGCATTTCATTTGTAATTTTGTGTTGTTTGCCATTGACCTAATCTATAGATATTTCTTTA